TGTGTGTGTGTGTGTGTGTGTGTGTGTGTGTGGGTTATTTTAGTTTGTTTTGTTTTTGTTTTTGTTTTGCAATTTATTAGTTTGTTATCATTTATCTCTGCCTTGGTTAGCACCTATTGTGATCACACGCTGATCATATGACTGTGTTTTCGCACAAGCAAAGAAGAAAGACGTCAGTAGGGCTGTTAACTACTGAGCAAACAACATGATATGACAAATAAATAGTGGAGAGATGACACAGTAAACTTAGCCAACAACAAATTGAGCGGGGTGGATTTGTAGGCTACTTTGTGAACAGAGGTGGACAGCTCCCCTTCCTTTATGATTCTTATGACCAGATGGCATTGATAACGGTATGTATCACCTATCCCGGTGCACAAAGTTGAGAGAAAGTTTCATCTGGCGGAGTTTACGATTCTAACTAATGGACCATGTTACGATGTGTCTCGTCCGGTGATGTATATTTGACTCCACATAATGATATTCAGTGCTGATGTTAAGTTGACATCAGAGGATAGCTAGACGTTACATACTTAGATAACGATAATTTTGCTGAGCGTTCTTTTTCTTCGGTAAAGGTATTTCATCCATGTTTTCTCAATGTGTAGCCATTATTAAAGCATAGCCAGTCATCTGCTTTACGCACACCTAAACCCCTTTATTACTCCACCAATGTATTGGGTATCCCTTAATTGCAGACGTTTTTAAAGATATAGTTTTGTGACAAAAAAAAAGGTCGGGTTCTAAGTGTAATTGTATAAATATCAAAGATAAAAAGAGCATATCTCCATCATTGGCTTTATCTAAAGACACAATGAGTTGGTTAGAGCAGTGGGTGTCAACTCTTTTTTTCCCCCCAGCTCCCACTTTTGCTATTTTAAAACTAAAATGTTTGTACCGCCCACCTATATGTTCAATAAGTGTCGTACTCTGACAAAACGCCTTTCTCTTATTCACAGCAGTTTCGAGAAATCAGCTGTTTTGTTTTTCTTATTATATTTAAACTAGTTTTCTTATAACATTTAAACTAGTTTTCTTATAACATTTAAACTAGTTTACACAGTACATCAACGGTAGATCTCGAAACCTGAAGAGAAATGATATTCCCTGTGCTCAAGAGATATTATAAGAAAACCGAAAATCGCTGATTTATCAAAACTGCAGTGAATAAGAAAAAGGCGTTTAAAATGAATAAAAAAAATTAATAAATTACACTTTTATTTGTCCCAGAAGGGCACTTTGTTTTACAATGGCAAACATACATACATAGATACATAATTATAAATGCGTACATACGTAAATACATACATGCATAAATACATACATAAATACACACTATTACACAAATACAGAACAGTTTACTAACAATGCCACTGTCGGTCGCCACTGTGCAGCGCCCTGTAATTTGAGCTAGGGTTGTCGTGTCTTGCTCAAGGACACACTCCAGTGACCACCCATCTGATCCCCGTGTCACCGACACTTGCTTGACATTTCTTGAGTCAAAACTCACTACTCACTTAGCCACTGGAGCCCCCAGAGTACGGCAGTGGTTGGTTGGCGGGTGCTCTGGTGTGGTTTGCTTCTTCTTTCCTATCAAACATCTATCGTCCTTATCTCCCCTTCTTCTTTTTTATGTTTGTTACTCTCTTGTAACTCCTCTAATCTTCTGGCACTAATATGACCATATGCAGTTGCGAGCGCCGTAAAACCTCTACTACTACTAAACTAACTAAGAGTACGGCAGAATATGTGCGCAAGCAATTCCGAGCGGGGCATTGAAATGTAACACCTATCACTTTCCAGGTGATCCCTACGCTCACCGAAACTACCAAATCGTCCACTAGTGCGCTACCTCAGAATTACAAGGTTCTATCTGCTCAGTATCTTGTTTTGAGAAATTTGAAGTACAAAATTTTGAACTTCACTAGCCTTATTAATAATAATAACAATAATGATAGTAACGATGATGATAATGGTAATAATAATATTAATATTAATAATAATGATAGTAATATTAATAATAATATTATTATTATTAATAATAATAATAATAATAATAATAATAATAATAATAATAATAATAATAATAATAATAATAATGATAATAATAATAATAATAAATAATAATAACAATAATAATATATTGCATTAAAGCGCCATGTCGTATACGAATATAAGCTCTGAGTGCTTTAGATCGATCATTTAGCATTCCATTTTCATTCACACAAGATAAAAACATTTCACATAAACAAGAAAACCAGTTCAGCCACATAAGGAAAAACTTTCTCATACATAATAACTATAATTGATACAATGCATACACGCTTTGTTCAGGTCAAGAACGTATCATTGGGGCAAAGATGTGACACACAGTTTATTCAATTAATGCGTCGGCACAGACTAAAGGCCATGCTTACTACAGCTTCTTGAGGTTATCGGTGTAGGCGAAACGTCACGATATTTGTACATTATAGCACATATAGTTCACAAAGTTATCAGCTCATGCGAGACGCCAGGGTTATAGGACATTTTCAAATTTTAATACATAATTTGTTAAGGTTTTCATCATAGGTGAAACACCAAGAAATACACGTACTACCAGGTCTTAACTGTTTTACTAACTGCTGTACACAATGATGATGATGATGATGATGATGATGATGATGATGATGATGATGATGATGATTTTTTGTTTGTTTCCTTAATGGAAATCTTCGAGCGAGAGCGAGGCTCTTTTTCGGCTCTATTGTCAATATGCTTAGCGGCACCTCCACTCGTCCAAATAACTCCATTCAAAGTTCTTACACCATCCTAAGCTCCAATGATGGTCCAACCGCAGTCTCGCTAGCTCAACCTGGTCCTAGCGACATGTGATAGATTTTTGTTCCCGCTTATAGGAGTACCCAGAATACATATCTTCCAGGTACTCAAAGGGGCAAGCTGTCCCCTTCCAGATGGGGAGTGCCGTTCTCAACGAAGACAGCCACAACCAATGAGGAAGCTTTGTGATGATGAAGATGATGATGATGATGATGATGATGATGATGATGATGATGATGATGATGATGATGATGATGATGATGATGATAATAATAATATTACTATTATTCTCTTCTTTGTGCTGTCTCTGCGATGTAACACGAGGGATAAAGATGGACAATAGAGCAGATGTTCGTTGTTCCTTTCCTCATTTGATAGGTGTCCTTTGTTTGAGTAGTTTTCAAGTCTCTCCGCCTTCCCAGCTCGCTACAGTCAGAGATAGACGTTAAATTTAAATCTGAATACCGCGCGCTCATATGACCCTATAAGCAGTTGCTTACGCCGCAAAAAAACCAAACCAAAAAAACAAAAAAACACCACAAAAACAAAAACAAACAAACAAAAAAGAAAAGAAAAAGAAAACAAACACAACAAAACAAATCCGGATGTCCCGCATCTTCAATGCGTGATTAAAGAAACGATGTAGGTGGTTGGTCGGAGATCCGGTGTGGTTTACTCCTACTTTCTCGTTGAACATATCGTCCTTATTTCTCTTCCTTTTTTGTGTATTTTACTCTCTCGTAACACATCTATTCTTCGGCACTTATATGATCTTACTGTTTTGCAAGTGCCTTAAAACTTACGAAATTACGAAAAGAAACGATAAGCTCATCACAATTAATGTCTGTTTTTTCTTGTTTTCTTATTTCATTTCATTTTTTAATTTTCAGGTACCTGCTTACAATGAACTAACTCGTGAACCCCGCTGAAGTAAAAAACTCAAACCTTGATCTTCAATAATTTATTTATTGAGGCACCAGCCATCCATGTCCAGGTGCTGTTTTAGCCGTCCAACTCAAACCTGAAACATGATGGATATCGGCGCCAGCGCGGACGCCGACGAACGCAACAACGACACCGAGACGACGATCATCATAGAGGACGGTACAGAAGGCGAGGCGACGACACACAACGGACATGTGACGCCACAAGGGGACAAAAACCACCAGCACCAGCATCATAACCACCACCACCAGGGGGCAGCGAGGAAGCGTGGCGCCGGGGGCAGTGGTGGTGGTGGCGTCACCAGTTCTGGGAGACACAATAAGTCTGGGGTGCTGCTGGAGACAGAGACAGGGGAGTCCGGGGACTTCCACATGGTGGATCAGGCGGAGAACGAAGTGGAGGCCAGGAAGATCTACAACAATTACAAGGTACTGTGGTTTTTACACTCCTATCGACACATTTAAGGTAGCTCAGAAGACAGCCCGAGGTGTGAGCTCAGAACATTAACAACAATGACAAGGTACAATGTGTTTACACTCCATCTACACGTGTAAGGTAACTCGGACTCCCATCCATAGATTTAAGGTAGCTCGGTAGACAGAACGAAGTGGAAACCTGGAAGATCTTCAACAATTACAAGATACTGCAGTTTTTACACTCCCATCGAAACATTTGTGGTAACTCAGTAGACAGTCCGAGGTCGAAGATAAAAAAGGTAAACAGCAGGTCAAAAACAATTGCATAAGTTACTGTGTTTGTTTGTTTACAACTCCATCGGCATATTTAAGGTAGCTCGATAGACAGAATGAAGTGGAAGCCAGGTAGATCTGCAACATTTACATGTGCTGTTAAGTTGGGTTTTTTTTAACACTTCCATCGACACATTTAAGGTCGACTCATTTAAGGTAGCTTGGTAGACAGACCGAGCTGGGAGCTATAATAAGAACATTAACAACAATTACAAGGTACTGTGTTATTACGCTTTCATCGACACATTTTAGGTAGCTCGGAAGACAGAATGAAGTGGAAGCCAGGAAGATCTACAACAATTACAAGGTACTGTGGTTTTACACCCTCATGCACACTTTTAAGGTACACTCTAAACAATCACAAGGTACTGTGTTTTTTACACTCCCATCAGTGCTCATATGACCTTTGCAGTTGAGAGCGCCGTAAAACCCTATACTACTACTACACTCCCATCGACACGTTTTAGGTAGCTCGGTAGACAGAATGAATTGGAAACCTGGAAGATCTTCAACAATTACAAAATACTGTAGTTTTTGCACTCCCATCGAAACATTTAAGGTAACTCAGTAGATAGTCCGAGGTCGAAGATAAAAAAGGGTCAACAGCAGGTCAAAAACAATTGCATACGTTACTGTGTTTGTTTGTTTATTACTCTATCGGTCGGCATATTTAAGGTAGCTCGATAGACTGAATGAAGTGGAAGTCAGGAAGATCTGCAACATTTACAAGGTACGATGTTGGGGTTTTTTTCTTTACACTTCCATCGACACATTGAAGGTCGGCTCGTTTAAGGTAGCTCGGTAGACAGACCGACTTGGCAGCTAAGAACATTAACAACAATTACAAGGTACTGTGTTTTTACGCTTTCATCGGCACATTTTAGGTAGCTCGGTAGACAGCCCGAGGAGGAAGCTAAGAACATCAACAACAATTACAAGTTACTGTGGGTTTTTTTTACACTTCCATCGACACATTTAAGGTAGACCGGTAGACAGAACGAGATGGAAGCCAGGAGGATCTACAGCAATTGCAAAACAGAACGAGGTCAAAGCTAGGAAGATATGCAACAGTTATACGGTACTGTGTTTTTACACTCTCACCGACACGTCTAAGTTAGCTCAGTAAACTGAACGAAGTGGAAACTATGAAGATATACAACAATTAATTACAAGGCAATATGTTCTTACACTTCCATCAACACATCTAACGTAGCTCAGTAGACAGCCCAAGCTGGGAGCTCAGAGCAGTAACAACAATTACAAGGTACATACTGTGTTCTGACACTCCTATATTGGCACATTTAAGGTATCCCAGTAGACAGAACGAAGTAGAAACCAGGAAGATCTACACTGTCCCCGAAGTTTTATGCAAGGAAAATTCTGAAATTATGCAAATTGAGCCCAAAAATGTGAAATTATGCGATTCTGTTAATTTTAACAAAGAATGATAAAGGAAAATAATCAGAAATTATGAGAAAAAATGATCAAATTTTGCTATATTATGCGAGGTGCATAAAACCACGTGGACAGTCTACAACAATTACAAGGTACCGTTCTGTGTTTTTACACTCCATCTACACATTTAAGGTCGCTCGGACTCCCATCGACAAATTCAAAGTAGCTCGGTACACAGAATGAAGTGGAAGCCAAGAAGGTCTACAACAAAGACAAGGTACTGTGGTTTTACACTCCCATCAACACGTTTAAGGTAGCTCGGTTGACAGCCCGGGGTGTAAGCCAGGAAGATCTGCAGTAATTACACGGTACGGTGTTTTTACGCTCTCATCGACATATTTATGGCAACTCGGCAGACAGCCTGAGGTCCAAGATGTAAAGGTCAACAGCAGGTCAACAACATTTACAAAAGTTACTGAGTTTTTTTTTTTACACTACCATCGACACATTTTAGGTAGCTCCATAGACAGAACGAAGTGGGAGCTAAGAACATCAACAAGAATGACAAGGAACTGTGTTTTTACACTCCCATCGACAAACAAAAGGAGAGGACAGAACATTTAAAAATAAGATAGCAGGGAGAGTAATCCAATTGACATGCGATTTATAAAAAGCAACAACAAAATCGACAAAACAAAGTAAACACACACACACACACACACACACACACACACACACACACACACACACACATACACACACATGCGAGCGAGCGCGTATTTCAGTCCTCTTGTTTGATTTCAGTTCGGACTCCGGATATGGAAAAGCCATGTATCGTCCAGGGATCTCTCAACCAGATCTGAAATCGTTCAGTCATTGTACAGTGACGTCAGCAAATATCAACCAGTCAGCGTGAAAGGTAAGCGAGGAAGAATGTTATGTCTTTTGTTGTGATCAGAAGCGTACTATATTTCCTTCAAAAAACGATAACTATCTAATTAACTGACTAACTAACTGACTAACTAACTAACTACTAACTAACTAACTAACTAACTAACTAACTAACTAACTAACTAACTAACTAACTAACTAACTAACTAACTAACTAACTAAGGGTCTCCAAAAAAGAGGACGGGTTTAGTTACAAAGAAATAATATTACCTGGTCTTCATTACATCAATTTTGGCAAAACCTTGAACAAAGAAATTATACATATAAATATAGTTTGAACAAACTGTCGTCACTGTCAATCACCCCCCCCCCACCCCCACGAACCCCTGCCCCGTTCCTTCTTCCGTCTACCCTTCTTAAGATCCCAAGTAAACATTAAAAAAGGAAAACAACACCGTTTTGGGTTTGTTTTGTAGTATGGGCATGTTTATTTCGCCCCCATTGACACAATCATTTTGATTATTATTTATATTTTGTCTCTTTTAAGCACAAGGGGGCTATCCCGAAAAATGCTGTTTTGAGAAAATCGAAGGTAACGTTTTTGCCCCTTGTTCAGTTTCTTTAAAAGACAAGGAAAGTTTTCTCTATAACAAAACACATATGCAAATGTACACACCAATGACACCAAACTTCTCCTATAGTTTGGGCAATTCTCACTTTTGGTGTGGGTCAAGATTTCTGGAAACCCCCAAAATCTGAGATAGCCTGCTTGTCCATAAAAGCGACCAATTGTGGAAGAAGGCTGCCTTGAACCTGTCTGTCAGTGTCAACCCAGATGTGTAAGATACTGGCTAGAGGACAATCGAAAGAGATACTCGATAGAACACATATTATTTATTATTCCAACTATTTCCTAAACGGTAATCGAACACAATCCTTTTAATGAAATACGAAGAGCGTGACAGTTACACCACAGACGCAGGTATAAATATTATTACGAACGTAGGCGCCCGAAATGATCACACAAGGCTAATGATAATGAACACTATTGATTTTTTCTCAGTCCAACACTTTCTTATTGATTATTCTGTTTTATGATCTCCAAAGACAATGTTAAATCATGCGTTCCCTTTGCATATTACGATTAACTTCTTTATAAGTTGAGTTGTTAGTTAGTCTTGCCTTAGTAGCCTGAAGAAAAGTACTTTCGGAAGGGTCGCACTTTTAAAGGGATCGGTGAACGGATGATGTTCAGAAAGTCCTTATGAATGAACTGTGATCAAATGTGCTATACGAAGCTTGGGAGGAAATGTGGAAATCGCTTTTCAGGTAATCGTGCTTCTACGGTCGACAATTAGGTTATGATGATAGTTCTGCTGCTGCTGCTGCTGCTGCTGCTGCTGATGATGATGATGATTGTGATGATGATGATGGTGATGATGATGATGATGACGATGATGATGACAATAGCAAAATTACTAGTAATGATAACGATCCTACTACTAAATGACAGACCTGCGTAGAATAAAAACACACTCTCATTGTAGTTGTCATTATCATCTTAACTATTTACCCCCCCCCCCCAAACCCGTCCTCAAAATAGATATGTCTATTCAGTTTCAGTTAATGCAAGGAAGCTCTTAATGATACTTCATAATTTTGACGGAACCAAAATGGAAACCAATATTTTAAAATTGTATTTAGGATTTTAAACCAACTATTTAATTTTTCAAGTCTAGTAAGTAATCTAACTCACACGCTGTCCACAACACCAACTTATCAACAACGGCGCCCTTTCTCTGTGACTTTGAGTAGACCTAATGGTTATGGACAGGTTCGACTGTTTGTTAAAGTAAGAGTTTTACGGCAGTTGTAACAGAATTAAGTCAAAGATGCCGAAGATTAGAATTGTTACAAGAGAGTAGCAAACACACACACACACACACACACACACACACACACACACACACACACACACATACACACAAAAAGGAGGCGAGCTGATAAGGAAGATACATGTTTGATTGACAGTCGAAGGAGAAACCCTGACCAGAGCATCGGTCAACCACCCCCTGCGTTCTATTGTTGTGACGTGTGCTGACCAACTGAGTTGATTATCGGATTTTTAGTCCTATGGACACATATATAGATATTATTATGTCAAATATATCGGTTTGGCTTGTATAATTTATTCTACGAAATGATTGAAAACATGTTTAGCTTAAAGAAAATGGCATCAGTTGAAAAAACTTCAAATTTGATGTGTACATTTATATTTTTCGGCCGTCATTTCCATTCATGGAATGCAAGTAGAACTAGAGAACATGTCCCAGATATCTCCATCTTCTCCTTTTGTTAATGGTTGTATTGATATCTTCAATTCCAGCTACATGTATTTCCAAACTTCATTTTTTAAAACATGAATTCATTCCATTTTATTAGTAAAATTCTTCGAAGACATTTTGTTTGGAAGCTTGTTGCTTGTTTTCCACATCTATGAACCATACATCGATACATCCAAAGTCTTATCTTTTATTTTGTCATACTGTTTTCCATAATATAAGATATGATAATGCTTTATTGTTCCTGTGAGAATTTTTCTTTTGCTGTACAGGAATGGTTAAAATCACATAATTTAGTTATGCAGTGTTTAGTTGTCATGATATTATTATTATTGTCTTTCCATTGCAGTGTCAACCCTGCGGGTGTCCAATGTGATCTATTGTGTGCTAGCTGGCTCATGGCTTTCCCTCTTGTATCTGATCCTGGGAGCCCTAATGTACGCCACCGTCATTGGCAAGGACTATGGTTTGTTCCGGTTTTATTGTTTTAGCGCATCATACATCTTATTATTATCTTCGATTATAAAAATGTCCCCTTGAATTATCTAATTAAACAAATATTTCCTTACTCTTGTTTTACAGTTTTTATTATTATTTTGTCATGCTGTTTTCCATAAGATAAGATAAGATAAGATAAGATAAGATAAGATGAGATAAGATGAGATAAGATAAGATAAGATAAGATAAGATAAGATAAGATAAGATAAGATAAGATGAGATGAGATGAGATGAGATGAGATGAGATGAGATGAGATAAGATAAGATAAGATAAGATAAGATACGATAAGATAAGATAAGATAAGATAAGATAAGAAAAAATAAGATACTTTATTGCTCTTGTGGGAAATTGTCTTTGGCTGCACAGGTATGGTTTAAAACGTATGAGTTAGATAGAAGTAGAATTTAGATTGTATATTGAAAGAATTTCAACACGAAGAAAAAAATATAGCTGACAATAATACAATATGTAGAAATTTATCATAGATTTTTGAAAGTTATATACATGTAGATATATTCGTACAGTACATTATGTGCAAAGATATGAACAACAACAATAGTACTCTATACGAATGTTTATTTCAATGTTAATAGCAATCTTATCGCAGATGGTAGGAAACTTCTTTTGTAACTTTCTTAATTTTTTTCTTTTCTTATCTTATCTTATCCTATCCTATCTTATCTTAATTATCTGCCGTTGCGCGATCTAAAAAAAAACAACATAAAAAAACAAACTCAAAACTATAAAAAAAAAAAAATCTGTGTGAAAAAGGGGTGCGATGGGTCACTTAAAAGGCTGTTAAAATAAATTGCCCCCTGATCTCGTATTCTTCCAGCACTGTCCACAATTTGTCTCGGTCTACTTTTTCATGGACTCTTTCTTGGTCCACAAAGACAGTTTTTAGTTTTTGCTCGTGTTCTATTGTCTCTTCACTGAGTTGTTTAAGTGCAAACAGTGCATCCATGATGGCATAACATATTGAATAACAACTACAATTTTAATTAAAGCATTAGTCTCATA